CTTCATGAAAAAAATAGAGAGTTTAATTGTTGTATTTGCCACCAAATCATCCCGAGGGTGGACAATTTGCTTGGATTTAAAAAAAAAAGATATGTTTGACTCAATGACGAGATCGAAAATAATTTCTGGCAACCATGACGAATTGGTTTGAAAATCATCTAACCGATAATACAAATGAGGTTAGCTACTTTTGCCAGTGAGTTTAGTTAGTCCTAACCTTGAATTACTACAGAATTGCTAGAGCTTTATTGCAATTCCCATATTTTGAATAAGAAAACATTTAGGAAGGTTCAGCGACTTTCTAGGAAATTCTGCGAACTATAGGAAACTGTAGTGAATTTTAGGAAAGTTCGGCAAACTATAAATAAGTGCCTCCAAAGAAGCAGAGAAATTCAACAACCTTCAGAGAAGTTCAATGAACTTCAGGAAAGACTTCAGGAAAATTCTTCAAACTTTAAAGGTGTGCTTCGTTCTCCATATCTGCCAACTTCAGGGACATTTTGTGAGCTTCAGGGGAGTTCAATGCCCTCCTGGTAAGTTCTACGAACTTCAAGAGAGTTCTGTGAACTACAGCAACATTATATTAATTTCAATGATGTTCTGCAAACAGTTCTTTAAACGTGAGGAAATTTTTGCAACCTTTAGGATGGTCTGTGAACCACAGGAAAATTTAATAACATTAGGAAAGTAGGTATTATGAATTTAAAAAAAACGTCTAGAATTTCAGGAAAAAAAAACAAGAACATCAAAGAACATCATGAAAGTTAGAAGAATTTCATCGAAGTTCAACGAAATCAAGGAAAAACATATGAACAGGGATTTGAATTTGAATGTAACTTCTATAAGCTACCTCATCGGGTCGTTGGTGGAATAACTCCCACTCCATGTCTTAGAAAACAGGTATAATATTGAGAATTTGTTGCAATATCTCTTTCTCTTTTACGCTTCCTTTATGAAATGTGATCGAGGGCATTAGCAGGGTGGAAGGGCGTAAAAATGAGAGTTTGTCACCTAAAAAAATCGTGAGTACGGCTCACGCATGTTACATTGCCGTTTACCGGTATAAAAAAGGGAGCAGTTTATGAAAATTGAGGTTCATAAATATCCAGAAGGCCAAACTCGACAGTCAAAGTTGTGCGGTTGTGTAGATATTTGTAAGAAAAAAACACCACAGAAAAAAAAAGAAATTCATAAAAAATTTCAAATTATGTCGGACGCAGGTTTTATTTAGGATTCAGACTTCAGAATCTCTCCAAATTGACAGATGAATTTGTTTCGATCCGTAACAGTTTTGTATCATCAATAGTCCTTTGCTCCTCGCCTTTGTTAACAGCTAAGTAAGCTTCAAAACAATTTTTCTCAAAAAACCCAAGATGAAATATTTTAAAATATTCGCAGATTTGATTGTTAGGATCAATACTAACTTCCTGTGAAGATAAAACTGAGGTACATGAATGTTGCAAAAAAAGTGCCTTCAGACATAGCGTGTGGGGTGCAATTTTTTGACCCAAAAATTTAATTGAAGTTTGTCATTTCATGCACCTTTTGGTGCAATTTCCAGGCACCATCTCAAAGGAATTGACGCAATAAAAGGATTTCATTGGCCTTATTTTATGAAATGAAGTTATTTTACCTTATCAAGAAATCAAGTTTTTTTTATATTATAATTTTGTAAATATGAAAATAAAAATCTTATTTATAAAAGGAGGGGCAATTGCCCCACCTTGTCCCACCCTGTACACGCCAGTGTTGGTTCCGCTATTTGACAGCTCAATTGGGGTTCCCGAAATTCTATCCGCTAGACTATAAATATAGCGACTATAACTACCCCCCCCCCCCCCTAATTTGATGCAGCCCAATTACAGACATTTCTGAAATTCACACACATTTTTCGCAGCCTTCTGGAAAAAAAAAATCTGGCATCTCTGGTTCACTCTAACAACCCCTGGCCGGTTGTGGTATTATGGAAGAAATCAGCTTTCAATCATCCTTGAATTGACAATTGAAAGTAGCTTTAGTCCGGGAGTTAGCATGCGATAGCTCTACTGCAGAGCCAGCAACTCATTTCAGAATGCCTGGTAATTCACGTCCATTACGAGGTCACTTTCACATACAATAAGCCCCGCATGTAAACACTACCGCTATCACTTTCAGATTTCGAAACGTGAATTTTTGTAATCCTGCGCGTATTTAGCAGTACCGTAAAACGAGGTATCTTTAATAATGCGGGTAACTTTGATAGTATAATGTAAAGTAAAGATTGAATTTAGCCGCTGCGCTTTTTCCAAACTAGAAACATTGGTTCGATATTGTAGCTTAGGGTATTTCCGTTGATATCGTATACAGTTTTTATATACTATGTGCTACATATTTTACAAACATATTAAAATACAATTTTCGTGTTTTCGCCTGATTGAAAAAGCACTCAAACCATCACTTTTGAAATGTATTTCCTATGTAGCCATCACAAATTCAATGTGGTATTGATTATGATATTTTCTGATTATATACTCATTCAAAGTTTCATATTTAAAGAATTAAATTGTTTGAGTTTCACCAATTTTTTTCTGAATTCATCGACCATTATCAAAGCAACCCCAAATCAAAAAACTGTAGTTCGGTCGGAAAACTAAAAAAATAGTGCAAATGCTTTAATTTTCGTTAAACATATAAACATATTACTAACGAATCGACTCTTGGATCCTCAGTACTTGGTTTAAAAATATAAAATTTGAAAAACATTCATTGCCGTAAAAATGATTTAGAATATACTTTTAAAAACTATCAATGTTACCCCGTTTTACGGTACTTGGAAATAGGCATATATAATTAATTTACTATTAGATAGATCTCATCAAATTCAAATTTCCGAAATAGCACCGCGGTAATCTTAAAAACTCTTTCGATCCTATTTTTTGAAATAACAAAACACAGCACTAATAAACACACGTGAAATTATTGAAAAAGGTTCCGGGTGTCTAAAATCTTCCAAATAAAGGAGTTTTACACTTTTTACACTCAGTAAAAATCTCGAAAATAAAATGCAGCAGCAAATTAAAAACACGTCAGTTTCAATGCACGGCCTACCTCAATCATCGGTTTAATCACATCAAATTTCTTCTGTCTACATTTTTAAACTGAAATGCTTTGCAGATGAAGTGTTCCGAAATTCCATATGTGGTTTTAAAGAGAAATTTGTGAAACATTACAAATTTGTATTACAATTCAGCAGCTCTACTTTAAATCTGAACTTCCCCATACACTTGCATCAAATTCAACGATATTTAACTCCCCAACCAAATAACGCCGAGAACGAGAAGCACCGGCAAGATCCTTGTTATCTGATATGTTTTCTCTTCACTTCACCTTCAGTATCCATCTCCATCTCAGACGCGTCCCGGTTTCACTTTTCCATCTCCCTTCCCCATTCCCAGTTCATCACCGGAATAGTTGAATTTATTTTCCGGTTCAACTTCAACAAGCGATTCTTCTTTTGTCCAAACAACAAAGAGCCCAACAAGCTTCTCGTCCTTCTAGTCGTTCGTCCCCGTGCGTGCATCAGGCGACGACCTTGGTTCAACTGTTTTCACTAAGACTTAAATAAAACGCTTCATTTGAGATCCGGCAGACGGACGACGCTCAAAGTTGGACTCTCCTACGGTCTCCTATTTGACTGTGTGAAGTGAAAATCAATCGGTCTCTTGAAAACTGCAAATCGGAAACTGCCACTTCCGCCATCGAATGACGACTGCTTATTTTCAGTTCAAAAGGAAATTGGAGAATTGGAAGGAATGGATGAATGGACTCGATTGAGCGGAATGGGAAGCAGAAGGGAAACGGGGAATGCGATAGACGATTGTGATAAAGTTTAACTCGTTAGTGTGGTAGAAACATTTGTATTTGAAAACGATAACATAAGAACGGCTCATTGTGGCGCGAAAGTTCCGTTTCAACGAGAAATCTTTTATTTAGTTGCATTTTTTTATAAAGACGCTGTGTTCGGGGATTCGAATCGAAGGATATTTTGAACGTTTCTTAGATACTAAATTTTGTTAATATATATTGAAGAAAGTTTTTATTTTTACCGTCAGACCGGTTCTCCGAAATGCTTCCGTTGTGGTGGAGTCTTCATCGACTTATTAAACTACCGCCCGCTGTGAAGCGTTTGCACCTAGAAAAGGGGGAACGTTTCGCGCCTGGCAGCCCTCCGGGAGATCGTCTCCAGCCTCGAAAGCAGTCACCTGAATCTAAGGGAAGCGCAATCCGACTCACGTCACTCGCAGAATGTTTCCATCTAGGAATCCACCCACTCCGAAAACAGTGCACATTTTCATCATAACGGATGAGTGCACGAAGCGGCAAGCAAACACAGAGACACAAAGTTAGAAAACGAAAGTTTGCTTTTCATTATAAACGATTGCTGTAAAACCGGGTCCCCTCGGTTGCTATTTATTTTGCAGATAACATAGGGTTTCGAATCACATTAAATTCGCTTTAATTTCAAACAAACGAAACCGAAACAAGCAATGTGCTGGTAACACAACTCTGTCTCTTTAGAACCACATTCGCCAATTTCATACTAAACAACAAGGGAAAATTCCCAGCGGGATGTCTCGTAATAAATGTGAAATATCCCATCATCAAAAACATAAAACCGTATCGTAGAAAATCATTACAAACCGGGGAAGGACATTGAACACGAAACTGCACTTGACACGTCATTTTCGCGAATACTACTTGATGTCTAATTTTTGAAATCCTGCCATATTCTACATCCAATCAATAGCATAAAATTCAATGATTTTTACTTAGCTTACATTCCCTATACATGTTATACTCATGATGGCCTATCTGTTCGTATTTTTGTGTCTCGTTACATATCCTCGCATATATCCACGTTCCATCATCAAACAACGATGATCATGCATCTTCTGCCGCCATGTCTCATCCCGATCCCAACATGACTCCCCGAAATCGAATGATGTCACCGTCACAGGATGGAAAGATTCTATACTGTCACTTCCGAAGAAATGGTTGTCGACGTCGGAGGCGACCGACGAGTTTGGATTCCCGGAGGTGAGTAAATATCTAGATGTAATATGGTCAGCGTTGCCTACTCGGTTTTTAGGGCAATCTGGTTTAGTTGAAATATAAAATCTGAAAAGATCTGGAATACACCAATTTATTTTATTAAGAATACAAACAATATTTTTCAAAATATTTTTACGTGGAAATCTTGTATCCAAATAATGGTATTGAAATAAAATTGTAGTTCTAAATTTTCGAAAAACATTTAGTGTAGTCCGTCTTTTGTTATTATTTTCAGAATTGTTTTAATTACCGTCGGAATTGCAAGTTTATATGAATTTGTTTGAAAATCTCTGATTGTCTAAAATTTTCAAGGAACATCTCTTTTCCATGTAATTTTTTTTTTTCCTAACCCGTAAAAGCCAGGGACAAACTTTTTATTTTCAAAAAATTGTATCTCAGAGATGCCATGGCCGATTGAATTGAATTTGATTTTTTTAACATCATTCCGATGTGTAGTTCTTACATCTGTCCCGTCTCTCTTTATTTATTTATTTATTTGGAGGGAAAAGCCCCCACAAGTGGGCACAAAACCTCATCATTTCAGTACCAACAGATAATCCTACAGATACATTTGCTTAAACTAATTCCTAATCATTTAAAACTATAAATATTAGTGATAAGATTAACTTAATTAAAAAACAGAAACCGTCAGGAAGTTAAACGTGTATTACAAAACAGATGCTTAAGCGTAACACGGAAGATATTAAAATCAAAGCAGATATAACATTCGTTGAAAATCTTGCACATACTAGTTAACGGAACCAAGAAACCAGGATGTTGAAAAATAATAAGAACGTAAATTTGCTCGTCTGCTGCAGAAGTGAGCCGCAATCAATGTCCGATCGTCACTATGTGCTCAACTTCTGAGCCGAACAGTCGATTTATTTACTGTCCCCGGTTATTAGAAGTCACGAGCCTTTTTTAACACCTTTTAAAATTCAAGTAAAGGCACTGCCGGGCCAACCCGTTTTGCGAAATCCTGTAGTCGCGCGCGAAAAAGTCACGATGGCACGTCAACATACTTTTGGAATTGATTTTGCGAATGCACCAAAAAACGAAGTCCGAAGAGCTACACTTATTTGTAGCAAACGAGCTTGGTCTTCAATTTCATGAAGTCAAGAGAATTTAATGTAGTTGAACCATAGTACTAAGACTAGTAGGTCCCGAAGAAACGTGCTCAACTTTTTGGCTCAGCTCTGGTACTATATTCGGTCCCATTCTAATCGATTCACCCCTCGAAACATAGGAAAATCCACTAACCCCTCATTTTATCTGTCAAACTTTCATAGCGAATCAAAACAAACATTGTGTAGTACTAGAATTTCGACTAGAATGGGGTACGTTAATCGATTTGCTTGGGACCAATAGGCTAGTCAAGTAGTGAGCCAATTTAAAATCGATAGTTTCGTATTGATTGTTGGTTGAACTTCGGGGTGTGCGCGTGTTAAAATCGCTGACCTCGAGCCTAGTTCACTATACAATACATCTTAAAACTATAGTCAAAAGGTACAACACAATAAACATATTATCTTCCACTATCCAATAAGCCTCCTCCATCAGAATGGGAGCCACTTAGTGGTTTCATTGTATGGCAGTATCGCCACCGGGGGTCAGAGCGCTTCCATTGCAGCAATGGACGCAAAACGTGGTCAGTACTCACACATTCATCTTTGCTTTCCAAAGTCGACGACGCATCGACTGAAAGAACTGCTCATGAAGAACAATGAGGAGGACCACACAATGGTTGGTGCCGAGTAAACAGACGATCGCGTGACCCACATTAAGAGTGGTCTGCTTCTGTAGACAACCGAGTGAACACTGCAACCTGTACCAGCTGGTTAACGAAAAAGGAAACTACCGGAATTTGCAGCATACCATCGGCCAAGCAGACAATGCTTCCTGTTTACATTGCAACACAGCGATTGAAACTATACAGCACAAATACAGCGAATGCCCACGGGTACAAGCTGCATGGAACTTTGTTCAACGTAAAATAAAGTCAACCCTCGGTGGCTGGAGACAGTGCTGAGATTTGTCGTTGTCATTGACAGACTTTTGCGCGATATTGACAAAATTGTTTTTCATATAGTCAATGATAGACTTGATCCTCAAAAAAATCTTGGTCAAAATCTCATTAATTTTTTCGTCAATGACAAAGATTCACCTGGTAACAGAAAGTGTAATTTCTTGCATTCTGAGACACATTATTGTTATCCAAGCGGTTCAGGACGTAGATGCTTATTCACTTTAATGGCTCCATGTAATTGTTTTGCTCAAGCCATTTAATTTCATTTAAAATTTAGCTAATAAACAAATCAGCACATGTTCGTCACTGACAAAAATGCTACTGACAATTGACATGGTTTGCCTTGACGATGACTGTTAGCTCAAACGAGTGACCAAAGCAGAATTTTGAGTATCACCGTGTATTGTCGAAGTTTTGTAGCACTGGCTGGAGAAGGCTATCTTTCAACGAGCTACTTAGACCATCGAATCGGAAAAGCCAACGAATATTTTTTTTAATTGTTCATTAATTACGTCAGTTTTGTAAATAATGTTAAAGTGATAAAAGTGCTCTTGAATTCAATTGTAATTGTGAAGTGTAATAACTGTGTAACTACACTGAAACCTCCGTTTACGAAGTCTTTTTTTACGCAGTATTCAATTTACGTCCCTCTTTTTACGAAGTAAATCCCAAATAACGAGTTTTCTTTTTACGAACTAAATTCCAAATAACGTGTTTTTTTTGCGATTATGGGAATCTGGGAAAAACTATGAAATATCCCACAATATGGGTATCTTTGGAATCGGAGTGAGATGTAGGAACCGGAAACCCATGTCTGACGCCATTTTGAAATCCAAGATGGCCGCATGAAAAACTGGAAGATACTTTCAATACCCCACAATATGGGTATTTTTGGAATCAAGGTGACGTGTAGGAACTGAAAATCTATGTTTGACGTCATTTTGAAATCCAAGATGGCGGCTTCCGGTTACAGAAAAACTTGGACATTCTGCCATATACAACACAAAATGGGTATTTTTGGAATCGGAGTGACGTGAAGGGACCAAAAATCGATGTCTGACCCCGAGTAGAGACGAACCAGCCTAAGGCTGAAAGTCTCGTTAATAAAGAAAAAAAAAAAAAAAGATGTCTGACCCCATTTTGAAATCTAAGATGGCGACTTCCGGTTACAGAAAAACTTGTAAATTCTGCCAAATACCCCACAATATGGGTATTTTTGAAATCGGAGTGACGTTTAGGAACCGGAAATTGATGTCTGACGCCATTTTGAAATCCAAGATGGTGGCTTCCGGTTACAGAAAAACTTGGACATTCTGTCATATACCCCTGTGATGTATCCTGCTATCTATCACTTGTGTTTCTCATTAAATTATTCAACTTCACTTGTTGATGGTTTATGTTAGATTGATTTTATTGTTCATGTTTAACTTAGCCTAAACTGGAGGTAATTGAAGTCATTATGTATTTGCTAGCCAATCAGCGATCGATACATAGATCGACCAAGAGAGGGAGAGAAATGATCAAGAGAGAAACCGCGCTGCGGCTTTCCCACGTTTACATGTCGCATGGTGACAACGCCGCTTGGAAACAGGCGTAGTGCATTGGCTTAGTAATTAGATCCTTTCCTCGGAAATTGATTATGCAGTACCTCGACACTTATTGTAGAGTCGATGACTGGTGACAGCTAAGGAATTTCGACTCAGCAGTGGCGCAACAAATGCGATCTACTGGAAATGAATAGAATTCGATGGCGTCTGTTATGCAGATGCCACACCCCAAAATATGTGTATTTTTGGAATTGGAGTGACGTGTAAGAACCGGAAATTTATGTCTGACGTCATTTCGAAATCCAATATGGCGGCTTCCGATTACAGAAAAATTGGCAAATACCACCACGTCACCCCGATTCTTAAGATACGCGTATTGTAGGTTATTTAACATTATTTTTATGTAACCGGAAGTCACCATATTGAATTTCAAAATGGCGTCATACATGGGTTTTAAGTCCTAATAAGTCACCCCGATTCCAAAAAACCCATATTGTGGGGTATTTGTCATTATTTCCCAGTGTTTCTGTAACCGGATGTTACCATCTTGGATTTCGAAATGGCGTCAGACATGGATTCTCGGTTCTCACAGGTTAATCCGATTCCAAAAATATCCATATTGTTGTGTATTTAACGGTATTTTTCTGTTTTCCTGTAACCAGAAGCCGCTATCTTGGATTAAAAAATGGCGTCACACATCGATTTCCGGTCCCTACACGTCACTTCGATTCGAAAAATACCCATATTGTGGACTATTTGACAGACTTTCCAAGTTTTTCTGTAACAGGAAGTCGCCATCTTGAATTTCAAAATGGCGTCAGACATCGATTTCCGGTCCCTACACGTCACTCCGACTCCACAAATACACATATTGTGGGGTATATGACAGAATTTCCAAGTTTTTATGTAACGGGAAGCCACCATCTTGGATTTCAAAATGGCGTCAGATATTGATTTCTGGTCCCTGCACATCACCCTGAATCCAAAAATACCCATATTGTGGGGGTATTTGGCAGAATTTCCAAGTTTTTCTGTAACCGGAAGTCGCCATCTTGGATTTCAAAATGGCGTCAGACATCGATATCCGGTCCCTACACGTCACTCTGATTCCAAAAATACCCATACTGTGGGGTATTGGCAGAATTTCCAAGTTTTTCTGTAACCGGCAGCCGCCATCTTGGATTTAAAAATGGCGTCAGACATCGACTTTCGGTCCCTACACGTCACTCCGATTCCAAAAATACTCATATTGTGGGGTATTTGGCAGAATTTCCAAGTTTTTCTGGCGTCAGACATCGATTTTCGGTCCCTACACGTCACTCCGATTTCAAAATACCCATGGGGTATTTGATAGAATTTCCAAGTTTTTTTTTTGTTAGCGGAAGCCGCCATCTTGGATTTCAAAATGGCGTCAGACATCGATTTCCGGTCCCTACACGTCACCCTGATTCCAAAAATACCCATATTGTGGGGTATTTGACAATATTTTCAAAAACCTCTTTTTACTTTTTAATCCCAAATAACGAGTTTTCTTTTTACGAAGTAAATTTGTTTTTTTACAATAAGACCAATAAATCAAATTTAAAAAATCCAATCTTAGGAGATCAGCGATGAAGGTAGTCTTAAAGACGTCACGGCGAACAGTTGTAGTGACATAAAATTAAAGCGACTTTCATAACTAGGGAGGTTGAAACGATCACTCCAGGGGAGCCAACAAATGGCCTCAATACTAGCCCATACTACGGAACAGTACTCTAATGTGGAGCGGACTAGAGAACAATAGAGTGTTTTTAAACAGAAAATGTCCCTAAAGTATTTGGCGAAACGAAAAATTAAACCAAGTTAAGAAGAGGCCTTAGCGGAAACATAAACCACATGGTCCTTGAAGGTGAGTTGTGAATCAAGTATGACGCCTAAGTTTTTGACTACTTTGACCACGCCTAAGGTTTTGACCACTTATAACTCTGTCAATAGCAGATTAATTTTAATTCTAAACAAGCCGATTGGAAATTTATCTACCAAAAATGAACTAAAATGAACACTTAATTAATTTTCAATAGGTCACTATTAAAAAAGACACAAATGTCAAACCGTTGCAATGGTAATCAAAATTATCACCGATTGCCTGCAAACAGCGCATTCCCTAACACAGATTTAAAAATCGAATTCGATGCGGTCTCACCGAACGGTGCTGGTGTCCGGTCGTCGGTGTCAGCAGCAGCAGTGCTTTCGGCGTGTGGCGTTGAACATTGTTCTGCAGTACACAACGAAAGGCAGCCTGTAAGCAGCGAGCTGCAGAGCCCACATGAGCATCCATAGAAGGAGGAAGAAGCCGCACCGCAATGGATCGAAATCAGTTTCTTCGTGAGTCGCTGTGGGTCATCTATGCCAAGCGCGCCACCCTTGCTCCAAACAACATACCTCATCCCTCATCCCTCATGCCTCAGCCTCATCCGTGGTGAACACCCTAAATACTCAACCATCACGACAAAACGGTCCTTTTCAGGACCACCATATAAATGATAAAGAGTCTTTTTTGAACATTTTCAAGCTGAACATTGTATTAGGTTCTATGTAATATTGATCGATTCTCTTCGTTGACTTTCTCTTTCGTTAATAACTTGAGCCTATAACCACAAACGAAGTGACAGACGGAGCGGCTCGAAAACTTTGGTGACTAACCTGCTATTACAATTTTTCAGTGTACCACATGGTAACACCACTACTACTGGATTGTATCACATGGCAACACTACTACTGGATTGTACTAGCATTTTCACCAAATGTATTAGAATGTTTTGGTTCTATCTCTTTCACTCTACTGAAATGCATAAAAAAATGACAAAATGATACACTCTTTGCACACTGTCAAAGAATCATTGTACACAAAATCAACTTTGTTCAAATCAAAACAAAAAAACTAACCCATCTGGTGGATGATGGCACAAGCTTCCAAGAAAATTCTATTACAGTGAACCACATTATTTAAATGGATTTCTTCGCCAGTAAGTCGTCTGTCACTTAGTTTGTGCTATAACCGTTTATTTTTGTGTTTGTTGTAATAGATGCTAGATAAAAGCTTCTTTAATCGATCAGTGTGCTGAAAATACCTGGGAATGTCATTACATGGCCGTGGGGATACAAAGAGAAAGTTGACGAAGAAAATCTGTCTTTGTTACTTCCCTAGTAGCACACTTGTCACAAATCAGTTGTAGAAACTTATATACGACTTATTTCAGTCATAAACAAGTTGCTGTAACTTATTGTGATGAAAGTGTGCTACCCGGGTTAGGACCTAATGCAAAGTTCAGCTTGATTTGTCAAGGTCATCATCATCATTTGTCAAGCCGAATGTCAGTTCCCATATGTTAAAATCTAATATACCATATATTTTTAAGGCAACATTGGCAGTGCAATTTCAGAATCCAAAGTCGGTCGCGGCATGAAAGTGGTCTTGATTTTAATTCTGAATACGCAAATCGATTGATTCTACGAATCAATAAAAATTAAGGATTAAACATTTTTCAAAATGTCACTATTGAAAATTTCACAAATGTGCAAGTGATGCTATGATCATAAAATGGTCACCGATTGCCTGCGAAAAGCTCAACTCCAAGAACATCGAGAACAAATTTCTACAGCATTGTTCTAAGATGGCTTCCAAGCTTCCAACCCATCGGTCCTTTTCAGGACCACAAATGACTGATAAAAGAATTAACTAAAGAGTAAGAGCTTGTATCCAAGACATACCGTCCATGATTGGCTTGTACTACATGGACATCGACAGAGCACCTCACAAACAGAACTCTCATATTGCTTCCGAATTTCAAACTATCGAACTTTTTCTCTGATAACGAGTTAAGAAATCAATTTAATTTATACTATACTTTTGCTGTGACATCAAAACTACCTTTCGTAATCCTACGTCAAATCTACGGTCGTGTCTTGGATACAACCTCTTACTTTTTTTTCTGGAAAACGTTACAGTGGCACATTTAGAAGCTTTTAATACCATCCTGTTCTTGTCACACCAAAGAGCAAACACGTTCAGCTGCTGCTGAAGAAACAGTGCATCACTTCGACCTTTGATGACAAAGTATAGTTTGAAATCGTCAGCATAAGACAGGTTCAGGCAACGGATAGAAAAGTAAACGCCAATAAAAATATGAATGGTCCCAGATGACTGTCTTGAGGTACACCAGAAGAAACAGCTCTTCGGCATAAATCCGTGTTGTTCGGTCGCGATATAACTAGAGCATGTATGTTTTTAATAATCTAGCACCAATAGTATATAAAGTTTTGAGACTGCACATAAACACCAACTGATTTTTGCCTTTTCTGAAGACAGGGAAAACCAAATAATCCTTTCAGCCGTCGGGAAAGATTCCAGAATCCAAAGAGAGGTTGAAGATGGATGCTAAAGGTGAGGGCACCACTCCAATGCAGTTCTTAATAACCGCGGAAGGGATTCCATCAGGGCCAGTGCTGAAAGAATTTTTCAAACGAAGGCTACAATGTGCTCGTTAGGTAAAGTTTCTTTGACGAAGACACTGCTGAATTGTGACATGAACAGGTCCGCGATTCCCTCCGTATAAGACTCTTTTCGATCCGTATTGTACATGGTTGTGGTCCTTCCGTTGAACGTTCACATGATTCCAGAAGCTATTGGGATTTGCTTTGAGATAAGTTTGTAGATGGCGCTGATGGGCTTGACGAAGCTGTTTGTTGAGCCGCTTATACTGTTTGTCCTCTTCGATGCCTCCGTTCGAAGTTTATCAAATTTCTTCAAGGCAGCTCGTTTGGATGACTTCAGTCGCTTGAGTCGGTGGTTGGACCAAGAAGGGTTACTAGATAGGGGTGGAGTTGTCATGGGTACAAATTGATCAATTGCATAGACGACACTATTCGAGAAAACAGAAGAGCTAGCATGCGCGTCACGATCTCAGAGTTCATCGTCCCAGCTGATGTTTTCGAAAAAGGTTGCCATTCCCTCGAAGTCAGTCCTTCGGTAGTCCTACCAAACGCTGTTGAGATTATGGGTTCTGTGTATGGACCAGTCGTCTGTCAACGCTTGGGTAAATAGAATGGCTAAAGGCGTATAAAAGCTACGTTATGTCGGACGAATATCTGTCATAAGTCGCGCTTATGAAATTCATATGTGTCGTTCATAAGTCGAGCCTCACGAAATTCTTAAGTCTATTTGCCTCAGTGTAGAATATGTAAGAAAGGAGGAACTCTGAATGCATATATAGAGGATACCATACCTATGTTGACCACACTGCCCTCTGTTAATAGTTAACGAAACTAAGTGCACGCGTATTTTCCGATAGATTTCACCATTAAGAACAGCATTGACATCTGAAGGAAAATTAACGTAGAAGTATTACTTACCAATCAGGCTAAGGCCTTGTTGTCCTTTGCTGTCCGAAGAAGTCGTCTCCACTTTACTCGATCCATGGCCACACTTCACCAGCCTCGTAGTCAGCAGGTCGCCTTCTACTTGGTCGATCCACCTTGCCCACTGCGCGCCTCTTCTTCTTTTCCTGTTGTTTCGAGAGCTATTTTCACTGGGTCGTCGAGTGGCATTCTTACGACGTGCCCAGTCCACCGTATATGCGTATTTCGTCTACTACTTGCAGACTTCATCAGTGCCAAGTACTCAACACCACTTTGAGTACTTAGCACTGATGAAGTCTGCAAGTAGTAGACGAAATACGCGTATCTGTCAAAAGATAAGTAATTATAACGGAATTTAAAGGAAATAAACCAACCCACTCAAAGCTCTTCATAAAGGGATTCCGTTAAGAGGTTCGACAAATTTAAAGGATGGAACTCCCAGTTAACTGCACTGCTGCAAAAGAGAAGTTCAAGTTTCATTGTTGTACATTTTTTGAGAGCAGATATTTGTGCTTTTAAAATTTCGATGTGATAATGAGATAAATTAGATATAAGGATTCGATAGCGATTCATCTTATGCTTAATCATATTCATAAAATAGTAAACTGACCTATTGACCGCGTTCAAAAAATAAACAATGTTGTATGCTAGAAAAATTCTCTTGTTGTATTCATACAACTTTAAAAACTCACCTGTAACTATAAACTAACGAAAAAGCACCGCACTTAGCACTTCCTCCACGTTCTCCATTCCAGATGCTTCCGAAAGTTCCGGTCCCAGCCCTGGACCAAACCATGACCGAATACCAGCGGGCGCTCCAACCCATCCTAACTCCTCAACAGCTGGATCGCGCCCGGAATATCATTAAGCAGTTCACCGCCCCCAACGGACTCGGTGCGACGCTGCAGCAGTACTTGCTGGACAAACGGGAAGCCGAAGACAACTGGGCCTACTACTACTGGTTGAACGACATGTACATGGACAACCCGCTACCATTGCCGATCAACTCCAATCCGGGAATGGTGCTGCCACCCCGGAAGTTCACCACGGTCAACGATCTGGCACGTTTTGTTGCTCGACTTGTGGATCATCTCGTCAACCACAAGGAGATGCTGGATGGCGGCGGTCTTGTTCAGGAGCGGGCGACTTCACGCGAAAAAGGCCAACCACTGTGTATGGCCCAGTACTATCGGCTTCTTGGGTCCTGCCGTCGACCTGGCGAAAAGCAAGACAGTCAGTATCTGCCAGAGCAGAGGACCGATCAGCATGTTATTGTTTGTTGCAGGAATCAGGTTAGTTGGCGAGATGATCCTAATTGAGATGTATACTGAGAGTGTTTTGTTTTCAATAGATGTACTGCCTTCCGGTGAAGGCAGGCGATCGGGGACGACTTAACGAAGACGAAATTGCATCCCAAGTGCTGCACGTACTCAACGAGGCCCCGTGTCTGTCTATGAAGGCTGCTCGGATTGGTCTGTTAACTGCAGAACCTCGACAGAAGTGGGGCAAGGATAGACAGATGTTGTTACTAGAAGAACCGAACGCTCGTAACATCGAGCTTATCGAACAGGCGTTGGTGTTGATCTGTATCGACGAGCCCATACCGTTGACGTTTAATGCGCGTGGATTCAACGGTTCACCTGCGGGAGCGCACTATTGCGGAGGTCGTGACGAGAGTAACATGGCACACCAAATGATCCACGGTGGCGGCAGCGAGTGTAATTCCGGCAATCGTTGGTTCGACAAGACGATGCAGTTGATCGTTTGTAACGACGGAACATGGGGACTGTGCTACGAACATTCGCCTTCCGAGGGTATAGCGGTGGTTCAACTGTTGGAAGACATCTGCAAGAAGATTGACGAACTGCCGCCAAAGCAGGATACCGGGTCGCAAGATCACCTACCGCCCCCGGAGCGTTTGGAGTGGGTTGTTCGTCCGGAGATCGAACAGAGAATTCGGGAAGCTGCACGGAATGTCGATAAGTATGATTTTGTATACACTGAGAGAATGTGGAATGTTTCGTATATTTTCTGATCAGGAATATTGAAGATCTGGACTTTTACGTGTATCGGTACAGACCGTTCGGGAAGAACTTCATCAAGGCTTGCCAGGTTAGTCCCGATGTCTTCATCCAGTTGGCACTGCAGCTGGCTTATTTCAAGTAAGTTGGCAATGATCTATAAAGAATGATTACATTTTGATTGGAAAATTTGGTGCACCAGGCTCTACGGACATGTGGTGAGCACATATGAGAGCGCTTCGACGAGAAGGTTTATGTTGGTAAGTTGTCAATTGAGCTTGTTCCTTTTTGGAAAAAGTGAACCATCTGAATCCTGCCATAGGGTCGAGTTGACTGTATTCGCTCCGCCAGTATGGAAGCATTGGAGTGGGCCAAAGTCATGTGCCAGGGAGAAGGTGCCAACGTGACCCTTGAGAGTGACAAGGAGGACGACTACAGCAGCGAAGCGAACGATGCCAGAAAAGTAACTTTCAGTATTTACAGTGTATGTAGCTATAAGATTCCTTAAATTTACCCCTAGCGCTTCGGTTGACCTATACCGCCAATTAACTCTTTCAAATACTAACTTTTTTTGTATTCAAACCAATATCTTAGAAAGATCATTTAAGGGAATTGTTCCGCTGCGCTGCAGCTCGCCAAACGGAGGTAATGGTTCAGAATATCTTAGGGCACGGTATCGACATCCACTTGCTAGGTCTCCGGGAAGCGTGCCGGGAACAGCAGGGAGCTCTCCACGAATTGTTCACAGATGAAAGCTACAAAGTTGCAAACTGTTTCCTACTCTCCACAAGTCAGGTACTCAACCTCAGTTTGGTCCAACAGCATGAAGATCCATGAAGCAACGAGCACACCAAAGGAGCACTACAGAGCACCACCATATTGTTTTCTGTGTAGCACTTTCGAGCACCTCTTCGACACTGTTCCCTGCACTGAAAAAAAATCGCCATTTGTATACACTATGCTAACATAACTTTTACTTTCTCTGCAAGGTTGCCTGTTCAACGAACAGCTTCATGGGTTACGGGCCCGTCACACCACACGGTTATGGAGCATCCTACAATCCACATCCGAACGAAATTATATTCTGCATTTCGGCTTTCTTCTCGTCAGACAAAACGAGCGCCTCAAGGTTTGCCCGCTCACTTCAGGATTCGCTCGATGCCATGCGTGACTTGCTATCGTAAGGTTTACACGTGCCACAGCACTCACACAGGAGGCCTTACCGTGAAACGAAGAGTTCACTACGCACTCCAAGACGTTTTTAGATCGGGGAAAGGGAAAACACTGGGACTGAAATTGAAACCTACACATATCAACGTTTAACTGACACAAAAGAGCATACATATCAAGTAGTTGTGAAGTTTGCGGTAGAATGTTTTAAGAAGTTTAGCTGACCCCTGACTGGCGGGACACTGAGTGAAAGCAACGCTCTTTCCTGGTGCCATCAAAGGGGATTCAACCAAAGAAACGGAAACATATCATTAGCATGTAAGATTGAAAAGTACACTATAAATCGAAATCACAGTTATGTAAGAATCAATGGAATATTGCACTGAAATTACTTATGAAGTATTGTTGTTATTAGAAGTGTTTACCTATGAGCTGTATAGATCATTTATTTATTTGAACTGAAGAGTTGAGTTATCCTTCTTCAACTGCGTGTAGTAGCAATACTGAAATATCTATTTTAGTCCGAAAATATGTTGAATATTCAGAGTCTAGTCAATGTGATTCAGTTGAAAACGAAAGCAAAGCTTGGTAGTAAATTTATTCGTAATGGAAAATATTTTATTTATGATTAAAATCCAAAATTATAAAACCAAAATATACATATGTTAAAATTTAAAAAAAATATATATGCTGAGTTCCTTTCCCAAATTTGTTTCGTTTGCTCAAACGAAAATAAAAATCATATCAAATGAACTCAAATACATAAACATATACATACACCTAGTCAGAGGTTTGATCGCCCGCACAGTAATTCTTGTCCATTGAGTGAAACAAAATCGTAGTCAATGTAGTGACACAAATATTGGCATCATCAAAACCACAAAACCGTAGGAAAATTTTTAGACTGTACACTTGCGCTTGCACGCAGTCCGTAATTGCGTGAAATCTTGCACGCAAGTCAGAGGAAGCTTTTGCGGGGCGAAAAATATGGAAGCTTGAAAAGCTTTGCATTAGAACATATAACTGTTGAAGCAGAGAGAAAAAATGTAAAACATATCAAACATGTGAAAATAACAATATTTAGCGAATGGATTGAAAACTATACACGACAAATACAAACAGAAGATAAACAATGTACCATAGCATTTATAGCTGAAAACCTGATGACGAGAAACATATCACTAAAATAATTGGAACTAGTTGTTAGACTCATATCAATATACATATCACGAAAGCGAAACGAAAGGATCTCTACATAAGTCATATTTAACTAAGGTGTTAGGAAACGATTAGGAAGTATGCTGTCCATAAGAAGGACGGACCTTCCTAAACGGTTATTGTAATAGTGATGAAGAGGAAAGAAGCAGATCTAACTAACCGACAGTATTTATGTGTGTTAAATCTTTGAGAATTGGATAACTTTAAAACAGTTAAATAGTGAAATATTTGCATGGTTTGCTCTGGTCTAAAGTTAATGAGAAAATTATTACCCAAATTTATTGAATTTAAGTTTTCCATTAGTGGTTGATCAAAGTGTGACAGAATATTATATTTTTATTTGATGTCAATGATATTCTTGGAACTGCCCCTAAGTACCACTCAGGAATTTAACTGATTTCCCTTGACAAGTTCTGTAACGTTCCTGATGCTCTTTGATCTTCTTTGAAATTCTCGAGATATTCCAGAAATCTATGAAACTCCCCTAGAGCTATCGCAATCCACCCTAAAAGATCTTAAAATTTCCCCGTAGATTTGAAGGTTCTTTAAGTTGTCGGATCTAACTTGATTTGTTCGGAACTTCATTAAAATTCTATGAATTTTCAGAATTTTTTGAAGGCTCTCGCAATTTTTGATATGTTAATTAATTCTAACGTTAAATTATTAATGGCACTTACATAATACTTTCAAAAATTCTTTATTTCCCGAAACTTCATTAAAGTTCCTACTTTGTTTGACGATCTTAGGACTCCAAATTGGACTTTGTTCATCGAATATCGGTAAAGTTCCTGCATTTTCGACGTAGGATGACGTCTTTCGGCAACATATTGGGGTGCAATTTCAAAAAACCAAAATTGACCGCATTACGAAAAGTGGTTAGGTTTTGACCACATATAACTCTGTCAATAGCGAATGGATTTTAATTCTAAGCAAGCCAATCGATTAGAAATTTAGTTACGAATCTACTAAATTGACACTTTATTAATTTTCAATAGGTCACTAGTGAAAATTACACAAATGTCCAACTATTGCAATAGTGATCAAAATTATCACCGATTGTCTGCAAACAGCGCATTCCCTAACACAGATTTCTCGCGTCACTTTTCAAATAGACCAAGCTACATTGATCGATTCTCTTCATCGACTCTCTCTTTCGTTAATAACTTAGCTGCATTCATATTGCGTGCTAGTTTTTCTATATAGCCTGTTAAAAGAAGGTATTACTAAGCGTTTTGGACAATAAGAACAGCTGACCATGTTATTGGAGCCGAGTTATTAACTAAAGAGAAAGTCGATTAAGAGAATCGATCAATGTTGATTGGTCTATTAGAAAGGTGACGCGAGATTTCAAAATCGAATTCAATCCTGTCTCCCTGACCGATGCTTATTCAATCACCGTGTGGTGGTGTTCGTTCGGCCATCAACAACAACAGCAGCAGTGCTTTCGGCATGTGGCGTTGAACATTGTACACAACGAAAGGCTTCCCGCAAGCAGCAAGCTGTAGCCCACATGAGCGTCTATTCACTGAAGAAGGAGGAAGCCTCACCGCTTCTGATCGGAATCCATCTTCGTGAGTCGCTGCCAAGCGCGTCACCCTCGTTCCAAACAACAGTCTCATCCGTGTTGAACACCCTAATAGCTCAGCATTACTCAACCATCACGACAAAACGGTCCTTTTCAGCAGGGTTACTTCCACTCACTTGCTATAAAAAAATGTGTTTCGGAATTATGAAATCATGATATAGTATAATGCTAATTATTGCTTGTAAGTTACAAGAAGAGGTCATGAAGTATATGTTTGACATATAACATCTGTCAATATTGCTTTCAGTGCGTCACAATCAGCGATTTTACGACTCGTGAGCGCTCACTCTGAGTGAACGCTCACGAATCATAAGATCGCTGATTGTGACGCTATGAAAGCGGAATTGACTGGTTTTATCAGTCAAACACATACTTTACACCATCTTCTTGTTACTTAGAAGTACAACATATCATTATAACATCTAATGATTGTACAATTCCGAAAAACACCTTTTCATAGCAAGTGAGTGGAAGCAACCCTGCTTTTCAGGAACACCCTTAAAAGTATGTTTGGACATTTTTCAAGCTGAACATTCCATTGGGTCCTAAGTAACATTGATCGATTCTCTTCGTTGACTTTCTCTTTCGTTAATAACTTGAGCACATAACCGTTTCTTTTTGTGTTTGTTGTAATAGATGCTAGATAAAAGCTTCTTTTATCGATCAGTGTTAGAGATTTGGTCAATGTTACTTAGGACCGAATGCAAAGTTCAGCTTGATTTGTCAAGGTCATCAATCGAATGTCTGTTCCCATATGTTAAAATCTAACATAGCATATATTTTTAAGGCAAGATTGGGGTGCAATTTCAGAATCCAAAGTCGGTCGCGGCATGAAAGTGGCCTGATTTTGATCCAAAGATGATGGATTTTAATTCTGAATACGCAATGTTTTTTTTGCATCCGGATACGTCGGTACTCTTCACGTTTGGTGCACACTTTGTCCGTTGACAAATGATTTCCACCGCAATTTGCACTTTCAAACAAGCTTCTTCGAGGATGCAGTGTTCAGTGAAATGCTCTTGGGAGCAAAAACTACACTTTCAATTCGAGTACCATGCCCAAAGTTTAAGCAGCGCTTGCACTGCGTGACACTCCGGTTGGGTCCTTTGTACCCCTCCCATTTGATACAGGGGGAATCTGCTCACAGACACCTGAGAAGATAACTCAGGGTGTGGGGATGGAAGAAGTAGTGCTCCCGACCCACTAAACCTTACCCTGTGCTCTTGGCCCTTGCCCTCCGCGGAACCGCCCGAAAGCATTACATCATGGGAGGGGGCCGGTTGCGCTATGGTGCATCACACTAGTGGTGTGTCACAAACGCGACACTCACTACTGCACAGTGAGCAGCTGTGCAGGGCCTTCCTGTTATTGTACGCTGTTGATTGTTCGCCTGAGTTCTAGAACAGACGTGATAGCCAGCCAACTGTCCACGGCAGCACAGGACAGATGTGACCACTTACCAGCTGCGTGCCCCCCGGTGGCCAGGGTCCACTGGCATGGAGAGAAAAGTTGGCGATCAAACGTTATAAAAATAGATAAGCGGATTAAGAGAGGATTCCAAGCCGGAGATAACTCTGTAGCGTTGAGGCGCTCCGTTGCAGAACTTCTTAGGTCGGTTTATCCGGGGCACGTTCATCGCTTTACGGACGGATCGCGATCACGGGCCGGAGTGGGACTCGGAGTGGCAGGACCAAACACCGCAACAAGTCAAAGTCTTCCGGAGGAGTGTTCCGTTTTTTCCGCAGAAGCCGCTGCTGTTCTTGACGCAGCCATCACTCCTGCAGATCAACCGATCCTTGTGCTAACGGACTCACACAGCGTCATCCAGGCGCTGGAAGCCGAAGCCCCGAGCCACCCCTGGATACAAGCCATTACACGTTTTGCCCCACCCTCAACCGTTTTTACGTGGATTCCCGGGCACTGCGGTGTTCCTGGAAACGAGGCAGCGGACAGGCTGGCGGGATCTGGTCCATCCGGACCCCGCTTCACCAGGAACGTACCACTCCTAGACGTCAGGCGTTGGATTGCGATTATCATCATGGAAGCCTGGCAGGAGGAATGGTTTCAGTCACGCACCACCCTCCTGAGAAAAATCAAAGAAACCGTACGACCTTGGCAAGACAGCCACAAGTACAAAGACCAGCGGATTATCTCAAGACTCCGGACCGGCCATGCGAGGATTTCCCACAATTTTGGTGGGACACCCTTCCACAAGGTTTGCCCAATCTGCAGCATCCCTGCCTCGGTGGAACACGTGCTGTGTGTCTGCCCAGAGTTTCAGAGGCTACGCGAACAACACCGACTCCCAGAGAGCATCAGGGAGCTACTTGGCAACGACCCCTCGACGTTGACTGCGCTGATTGCATTCTTGAAGGACGCTCACCTATACAACCAAATCTAGCCCTCTCGTCGTGGGCTGCGCTGTCCGTGTTCTTTCACCTTCCTATTTTCCTGCCGTCGGGGTATCTCTGCCGGACTGGGGCACTGTCTCTTACGGTGGAGCTCTACCTTGTTCGCGCATCCATTCCTCACCACAGTCCCGTTGTAACTCCCACTTTACATTAAGTTTTTTAAAATGTTGTCTGTCCCTTTTGGTGGGTAATCAGAGCCAGTTGTACGTTATGTAATGATAGACTGAAACGCTTTCTTTCGAGGCAGGCCCTAAGCCTGACCCTCGATTATCAAATGTGATGAACTAGCCTACGGCTAAAAATCACAAAAATAAAGAAAAAAAAAAAAAAAAAAAAAAAAACCAGCTGCGTGTGCTGCGGCTTGGTCAGAGTCGTCTACACTCTAAGAACCCGGTGTCACTCCTGCCTTGGCACAACGAGGGTTTGTGCAGGGCTTATCGACCTCCTGGGACGAGCTGGATGGGGCTCCAGCGTCCTTACTCAGCTGTAGTTATCTCTCCCTTGGGTTGAATAATTAACGTTTCCAGGGCACACCACGAGGAGGCGAACTACTTCATGCCCCGGATAGCTTGAAAAACACCGAGTGTTGCACTGCCTTTGGCAAAATGTACCAAATGCAGGCAATCACGATACTCTTTGTCCTGTTTTCGTCGGTTCATGGGAAAAACCGCTTGGATGTAGCTTGTCATTTTCTCGAAGCTCCACTTCGATGTCCTTGGTCTCCATGATAGGTAGTCCTCTGACCACTGCCTTGAATGGTTTCTCGGCTGGCACGTCATGCGTGTAGAACTCTACGCCAGCCTTGCTCAGGTACGTCTTCGATTTATTGTATTCATTACGGGTTGAAGTGAAGATTTTTATCCCCATCCTTGTGAGCTGAAACTCAGCGGTGACACCGATCGCTTGCATTGTCCGTATAAGCTTGTCAGTGGGACTGATTTAAATACCAGGGAGGGCAGCTTTTGCTTTGTTGCGAGAGGATTTCCTCATGGTCCTTCGCCATGATGTTTGCTCGACTCGGTGTCAGGGTAGTTGCCTGTAGGTGTTGCTTGCGAGAATTGGTTGTCTTCCGCATCTGCGAGGAACGCAAATCGGTTGTTGTTTTGACCTTATTCTTCACTGTTAACGATATGAAAATCCACTGAACGGTTAGACTTGTTACTGTTCCGTTTGCCCTTCATCTCAATAGGGCTTTCCTTCGTGTAGTTGGGGCTCTGTCCACTCATGTTTTTGTTGAAAACTTGACTACACTTTCCGAATGTTCCAATACGTGTTCGCTTACTAAATGTTTACACTGGAATTCCAATCAATTTCTGCTTTTTATTATTATTATCTATTGAATAAACCAAGCTTTGTGCACGAAAATGCGTAATTTTGACATCAGAAAACGAGGCGTTTCCGTGATGGGAAAAATGGTTTCCCTAAAACAATCGCCAAATATTGATTCCAAGCACTGAGCATGCCAGACCGTACCTATGTTTATGGCTTTTGTTGCAAATGTTAAGCCCCTTCTATTAAGATTTTTTTTTTCCTTTATTATAGAGATTTTTAGCCATAGGCTAGTTCATCTCTTACCTTCTATTAAGAGAATTATGCCCTAAAAAATCTTGCCGAATTCTCTTAATAGAAGAGGCTTAAATTTGCATCATAAAGCATAAACGTAGATACCGTCCGGTAGGCTCAGAATCGAGATCAAATTTCCACAGCATTGTCCTAAACTGGCTTCCGAGCTTCCAACTCATCGGTCCTTTTTCAGGACCACAAATTACTGATAAAAAAAATTAACTAAAGAGTAAGAGCTTGATTCCAAGACATGCCGTCCAGGATTGGCTTGTACTACATGGACATTGACAGAGCACCTCACAAACAGAACTCTCAAATTGCTTCCGAATTTCAACCTTTCGAACTTTTTATCTGACAACGAGTTAAGAAATCAATTAAATATATACTATACTTTTGCTGTGACATCAAAACTACCTTTCGTAATCCTACGTCAAATCTACGGTCGTGTCTTGGATGCAACCTCTTACTTTCTTTTTCTGAAGTAAATCGAATGTCCCAGAATATCACAATAGACCGAAGTAATGGTTGCAGTGGTGAATATACCCAACACGAAAAAAATGTTCTGCGAACTGCTCTGATCTTTAAACATACCTGAAGTTTTCTGGAGTTGCCTAAAGTTCATGTAAAAGGAAGTGAAGTTTAAGAGGCATTGGGAGGTAGATTTATTGGGTGTCCGAACATTTGCGCAAATCCCGTATGGCCGAATGAGTTATTTGGCCAAATGCCGTTTTATTGTGTTCAACGAAGTCACTGTTATGTTAGTCCCCCATATTCTGCGATGAGAGTGAGGTGAGGTGACTCTCCGTGCAAATCAAATGGAGAGTTGTGGGGAAGGTGTTGTCCAATAAAGGAGATGTGCGCCGTCAATGCATCCGTACACATCTCTGCATCGCCAGAGCGACCGCGTACGAATTCGACATCATAGTCGTAGGGACTCAGTCTGAGAGCCCAATCGTCGGCTCTATAGTAAGGACCCGTTTTGAGCTTTCACGTGTTCGATTCAGGATAAAAGTTACACCTTGTGCATCTGTCCGTAGCGTGAAATGCCTTCCGAGAAGAAAGAAAGCAAAGTGTTCGATAGCCCAAACTGCACCTAATACCTCGCGCTGGTTCTGGGCATATTTTCTTTCCGTTGGTGTCAGAGCTTTCGAAGCGAAACTTATGATTCGTGTAGGTTGATGATCATTTTGTTGCACCAGAACTGCGCCAAGCGCATTTGGAGACGCGTCGGTGTGTAGTATGGTTTAGTCGTGTTCTGAGAAGTATCCCAACGTGGTTGTGCAATTAGAGATCTTTTCCTTCACTGCCTCGAATGCTTTTTCTTGGTCTGGACTCCAACACCAGGTTTGGGCAGTGGATACAACCCAAAGTGGACTTGTCATGTGAGCGAATTTCTTAATGTAGGGGCTAAGGAATGATGCTAGCCCCAAAAAACTACGAAGCTCCGAGACGGTAGCTGGCCGTTGAAATTTTCGAATGTCCTTGATTTTGGCTTCGTCTACGTGGAATCCATTGCCATCCAACTCGTGTCCAAGGAATTTGATGTAGCTTTTCTCGTACTCGCATTTCTCCACGTTTAAGGTCAAATGGTTGCCTCTGAGAATCTGCAATACCCTAGCGGTTGTTGAACGGAGCGCTTCTAGTGTATTGGCGAAGATTAGTACATCGTCTATGTAAACTATCACGTTTTACTCCTTCTAGCAGCCGGCACATTTCTCACTGAAAGATTTCAGGGGCACAATTCACGCCGAACATCAAACAGGTGAATCGGTACATCCCAGTTTCTGTTAGGAACGTTGTCAAGTCACGTGATTCATTCGCGAGTTCGAGGTGATAGAAGGCATTACTTAGATCTAGTTTTTTGAAAAATCTAGATCCATGTAGCTTTACCTTCATTTCGTCTAACAAAGGAAGGCGGTAATATTCCCGTTTGATGGCCTTGTTGGGTGAACGCATATTCACCACCAAACGGAAATCGTTTTTACCTTTCGGCACGGCCGACATTCCGTTTATCCATTCGGGTGCCGTACTGATCCGCTCAATAATACCCCGAGCATCCATTTCATCCAGACGTGTTCTAGCTCCTTCTCGATAAGCAGCTGGTACGTTATAGTAGGCGTTTTTTTTGGGTGGGATCGTTTTGGCTACACTAAACTTTCCCTTCACTCCCGGCATCTTTGGGAATATTTACAACAGGTTAGAGTTCACGCAACTGTTAACCGTCAATACCACTTTCAATAACCTCATCTCACTTGCCGTGGGGAAGGTGTTGCCCGATAAAGGAGATGTGGGCCATCATTGCATTCGAACACACCCCTGCATCGCCAGAGCGACAGCGGAAGGATTCGTCCGGCGGAATCGCTCTGCCAGTTGGGGAGCAACTCACCTATACGTGTGTCTTTGGCGACGATCTGCAAGAGAAGGGCCCGTTTGCTGCGCTGCCGCGCTGACGAATCGTTCCGCACAAGAGTCACCTCACTCATTGCGCAGCATAGGCCTCAGTGTGTTGTAGATTGGTCGGAGTTTATCCTTTCGAGGAATTCTTCCCACTCCGTTGACAGCCCTGACTATCTGTCTGAAGTTATTGCGTCTATCCTACATGTAGCGAGTACTAACTCCTTATCTGAGTGATCTAAAGGTAGACATTTAGTCGCCCACACGACCTTTCTTCAGTCATTGACGGCTTACTCGACAGAGCTTTGACAGAGAATTTCGTTGAAACTAAAACAGATTTGTAAAAGGCAGGAAATCCATGTAATGATCAACCACTTTTTCACTTAATTAAATTGTTCACATCGTTATCGAAGTAAAATTATGAGGTTATAAACCCTAATTTGAGTGTTTCAAAATAATCGCCCTCAAGAAGGCGCTATACGCTTCTGCCGACGTGCAATGGTTGTTTAAAAAAAAACTAGCAAAAGTATTATAAGTCACAACACCTAATGAAGATTACGCTTTAAGTTAACTTTAAAAAAGTACTTAAAAATCACATCAGTTTTCTGTTGAAAGTATTAAAGTAATATATCAATTGATTATAGGCGTTAAAAAGTATACAACAAATGTTAAGTATATAATCAGATGGATGTAGATTTAGAATTAGCAATATTGTGTTTTGTTCACTAGACGAGTGAAACGTAGGTACTGTACGATACAGCGTCTCCTGTGCGCATGGTATCAGTAATGAAGTATAATCTCAGTAAAGCTTATCCAAAGCAACAAATATGGACTCATTTCGGTTGTTCTAGAAAGAAACTTCATTCCCCTAGCGCTGTTTGTACTGTATGAATATATTAAATATTAACATCAAATAACATCAGTAATTTCAGATACCGTTTCACGTTCAATAACAATTCTTAACTGTCGCACTTGCACGTAATAGTAACTGGTGGTGTTTCTGTTTCCCCTAATCAGTGCCATGCAATCTACGATGTAGAATAGAACTGAAGTAGCCCTCAACTCTCGTATGTAATTATCATTCATCGACTCTAAGCCGAAGAGTCTTTGGAATGCAGGATTAAGTGTTCTTGCTTAACAAAAAAAAAACAGAAATAGTTTCACTTATCATGAGATTAAGTAGTAATGTCCTTTTCCTTTGATCGCTCTGTGTAGTTTCAATACTGAACAGTCTTTCTGATACTCGTAATTGTGTTTAAAACAAAAAAGTGACTCATAGGATTATTTAACTATAATAGTGCATAGCTATTATTATCTCGCAACTCACAGGCCCTCAACCCCATTCATTCATGCGTTTCCGGACGAAGACGACGGTAGATTGCGACGGAATGACCGCCTTATCTCCTTTACTTCCACCGCATCGGAGCTGTCGTCGCTTACCTAAAAAAAAAGTTTCACAGTGCATTGTTTTTACCAGCCTCCTGAAGAATTAGGCTTTGTTTTCCAAAATTACCTTGCAAAAGTTATGGTGCAACAGCTCAACAGCCGTTTTGCGAACTTTGGGATCATGCTCCAAACAGCTTTCAACAAAATCGTGCCCCTCCTCCGATAGACAGTCGGGAATTTCCGGAGACTCACCCATTCCAACCTTGAACATGATTTGGAAGTTGGAATCGAACTGGTGCCAGGGACGCTGCAAAGCAAACCGTGAGTTTATGTTCGTTCAATTATTCTTGGAGTATGTCTAAAACGAAAGGATGACCTACCTTGCCGCTGCACATTTCAATAACGACACATCCCAGAGACCAGATGTCGGCAGCACGTCCATGACCTTCACTGTTTGTTTTGGTGAATACCTCCGGGGCCATGTAAGCTACGGGACAAATAAAAAAATGAATAAAGTAATTCAAGTTTCAAAATGTTGGAGAAACATCTTTGCGACATAGTGCTGTCGTAGATCAGTTACAACAAAGTACATTCAAAATCATAAAGCAATAAAATGTGATCACCTTGCGTTCCGACGTATCCTTTCAGCTCACCGGGCAACGTCGTGTGGGCCTGAATCTTAACGGCCGAGCCAAAATCACCCAACTTCAAGCATTTTCCATCTTTGGTCAGGAAAATGTTTGCCGTCTTGATATCCCGATGCACAACTCCGTGCCGATGCAATTCTTTCACCCCCGACAGCAACTGTATCGTGTAGCGACGCGTTTGACCCTCCGGAAGACCTCCGTTCAGTTCAACCAAGCTCTCCAGTGTTCCTTCCGGGCACAATTCCATGAAAATAAGCAGCTCTTCCTGAAAATTCACGATTCAATTGCATGTTTCAAAACCTCGCCGCAACCAAAACTTACCCTGTGAACTTCCACTCCATAGTACTTGACCAGGTTCCGATGGTTGATTCCTTCGAATATCTTGAGCTCCTCAGCCACCTTTCGAATAGCGCTAGTCTCGCCGGGTTGGATTGCAATCTCCTTCATCGCCATCAGCTCACCCGTCGAATTGTTTACCGCAGTGTACACTTTGCCGAACCGTCCTTGACCTATTTTTATGCCACGATGCCAGCTGAAGTTCACGCTGCGGGCTCGATTCAGCGCTTTATCACAGTAGCTTATCTCTTTGACGTTACCAATCAAGCTTCGGTCACGTAACTTTTCATCCAGTTCGTTATCGAGTTTGTTGATGGCGTCACGTACCCGCAGCTGACGTAATGGTTTTGAACCCAACAAAGTATCCGTCGGCACACGAATCTTTATCTCATGCAAGCCTTCGTACGAAGTTTGTTTCTTGTATACGTCGCCGGAGTCGGTCATATGGTGCGGGCGCAACATTACCGAGTCTTCCCGTAGACTCAACTGATTTTGGAACGATTTAGTCAACGATATGGTTGGAATCGAAGCCCGTCCCTGCGTTGGCGAGGGGGACGGTGAGCTTTTCCTAGACCGAGGTGATCGACGTATTCGTTCCGGTTCTCGAATGCTACCGATCACATGCGAAATACAGGCATCCATCTTGGACTTGAGATCTTCAAACTCTACATTACTCAGATGACTGGTGCATTGTGGATCACAGGCGGAGATCAAAAACTCCAAACCTTGATTGGCCCATCGAGGTCGGAGTCCTCTACCGCGTTCGCAACGCTCCATCACAAACTTCATCCACAGCTTGGCAAAGTGTACGATGGCAGTCGACAGTTTCAGCTCGCTTTCCAGATCTCGACAGTTTTCAGCTCTCGTTTCGTAGAGCCTAGCCAGATCCTTGTGATACTCGAATCCAAATTTGTACCCTTGATGCAAAATTTCTCGCGTCCTCGATAGCACAGCAATTCGATCAATCTCATCCATGTCGGCCATATTCCGCACATGACACTCATTCTGTAGATTCTCGATCACAGTTGTCAACTTGTTTCGAAACAGTAAGGCATTTTTCTTCAACAACCGCAAACTATCCACTACCTCTTGGCAAACCGGACTCTTCTTACGAGTTCCACAATTTCTCAACACTACCCCATCTTCGGGATCGTCATCACACTCATCACAATGGTCTCGATGAAAGTCAACATTCTCCAAATCCCGAAACAGTCCCTTGGTAAAGGCCATCGTTTTCATCGTTTTCTCACGCGCAAAGGTGAACACATCCTGAGTCTTCCGGCACAGTGCTAAAAACTGCCACTTCTTGTCCCACTTATCACTATCACTTTTGTCGATCAATTTGATCTGATCCTCCAAGTCACGCAAGCGTGAAATCATCTTCTTACCCGTATTCTCCAGCACCTTTTCCACAATGTTACAGAACCGCTTGGCTGCGATCGCGTGCTGACCTGGAATCATCGGGCAAACCAGCTTCGTAAAACGCCACTCTTCGTCCAGCGCAGATTTCTGGTGACCTTCCGGGGTGGCAAACAAAATCCACTGCTCCGCAAACTCCAGATACAGCTCAAAAATCTTTCGCACTGTTCCATCAAACGTCTCCAGCACTGCCATGTACTTATCCAGCTCCGAATCACGGTCCCACAGAGCAGTATTGATATGCTTCTGAAAGCGATCGCGGTGAATCATGGCCAAAGTGAGGCCTTCCTTCAACTCTTTAATGTGCTGCTCTAAGCTAAGTGGATTTGGCTGCACAGGTTTCGTTTCCAATCGCATCTTTAAAAATTCTTGGATCACTTCCAAAGGAATAAGTGACAAGAAGATAAAAGCTGAAACGTAAGAAGGTAAGCTCAGCTTCTTAGCCTCCTCACTCCAGGCTCCAAAACGACGAAGCTCGTTTTCCTGGACCTTTTCCAATGGTGGTTCAATACACGGTACGTCTTCTTCGATGAACAGATAGTCATCTTCGTGTTCCTGAGCGTCAGGTTTTTCAAGGGTCAGTTGAGCTTTACGCAGCACAACGTTATGCAAACGATGCAGAAATGTGAGTGACTTGCCTAATCCTCTACACTTCAACACATTTTCGATGTACTTGCGATACAAAGACGTAGAATTATTTGCAGTATGCGAGGTAACTTCCGTTATGGAGTTTACACTGTAGAAGTTCAACGTATTCATATACTGACTCATCTCCGTCTCTCCCGTGAAGGAGAAATGCCGTCTGATAGATAAATCCTCGATATCAGAGTATTCGCGGCCTGATTCATCACTGTTTGCACTTTCCGATGCACTGCCTTCGTCAACAAACTGAACCCTTCTAGTCGGACAACTGCCAGACGAATTAGAGCTTGACTCAGCGTGTCCACTATCAGCTGCGTCGCCATTCTCTTCTTGAACCGAAGAACTCGTTGAACTGTCAGTCTCCATAATAGGCCAATGGTAGGACTTTTTGTTGCCCTGAAGTCGAGCCAACAGCTTTCCCAAAATAAGTAACGTCAGCCGGTGCTGTTTGGTCATATTGTACCACAGGCACATTGCCTTCACCCTACCGACGAATTCTTCACTCTGATAAATTGGAAACGCCATTCCCATGGCTTTGGAAGATGGGAATAAGCTTTCCTTAGCCTCCAACCTTAGCAACAGATCTTCTACCTGTCTCAGTGCGATTGTTTGTATTTCCAAGCAATCCTTACAGTACATTGAAAGGCACCCAAAGCAAAACTTCCGGATAGAGTCAGCATTAGCCGTAGAAGCCGTAGTATCAGATCCGAATCCACTGTCAGCCATGCTCAAATCGCTAACCGTTCTAGCAAGATGGCGCTGAAAGCGGAAATTCATTATTTCCTCCAGCAACGGATCGATCTCATTCCTAGCTTGACAGAGAATCTTGTCCTGCTGTTCAACCGAGCGATCCGCATGCCAAGCTTGCAGCTCTAGCCATATCAGATCGTTCACGTGCGTCTGCCAAAGCCTTTCCTCTGTCGATATGACATTTCGAGTAGTACGGTCTTTGTCGATACTGCCAAGCTTTATCAGGTTGGAAAAGGTATCGTGGAACGCGATTCGGTTCTGTGGAATGTCTGTAGCTACACTTGCCGAGCAGTCCCTAAAATTGGCAAAGGCAGACGGCGGAGCCGACGTTCTACACCCAACGGGTCGTGATTTGACGCTCATGAAACGATTGCATGATTCTATCAGCGCTGGCACCACCCCCGGTGAAATCCCCAAGGAGACATTCGTAATAGGCATGCTTTCCGCACGCTCCTCAATAGATCCAACCGGTTGACTGAAGTTAGTCGAATTCCTAGTGAACACAGTATTCGCCGCAGCGGCCATTTTTATCTCACGCTCCGAGTCACGCAGCAGTTGCGTCGAACGCTTATCGCTCCGTGCTTTCTCCTCTCCGTCTGGCTCCATTATCATCTGATTGAGAATTGCACAGTCGACCGTGTTGCGCCGGTCGGCACGTGGCCGCGCAAGTCGTCCACCAGTTCGCATTTTAACGGGACCCTCCCTGAAAACAATAAAATCAACATTCAGTAAAGAAGATATCAACAAAAATATTTACACCATGTTCAATAGACGAACCGACACGTCCTTTTATCTTATCGCGTGAAGTGCATTTTTCTGCCGTTTACAGGTTGGACGGCCACTAAATACCTTCAATCTCTATGCGAGAGGTGCTATCTTATCGAAGTATGCGACGACACTCATACCGCGAGAGCGCCGAAACCGAAATACAAATGGCGGTCAACGAAACTTGCCTACAGAAAAATGCTTTCCACAACATTCCATAGCCTACTCTCACTTGGATACTTACATTCTCTGCCTTGAACTTCTGCTTTTATTTTTTATCCTCGTCCTCGGCGGTGTACTACCATACTGTTCCGCGTACTGGCTGAGAACGTCGTCTACCGATGAGATCCGGTGACCTTCTTCAAATTCTTGCGAGGTAGTTCCACCGATGAAGTCCGGCTCGTCGAAAAACGGAATAACCACGGTACTGCTGTCAGGAATAATGAGAACTTAAGTTGCTTACAATTGAAAACTTAGTGAAAAATTGTGAAGAGATGAGCGATAATCGACTTTACAGCTAGATAGATATTCAGTGAATAGGTAAAACGTCTTCGCCCAGGCAGACGGGCGAAACCTTATCTTATCAGATGGTGACCGTAGTGTATGTAGTGAATCCCAAAATGGCAAACAGGAATTGTTGGCAGCAGCTGTCGTGCTACATCAGAAGTAACCGAAGTATCGTGCGAAAGGGGCAGCAGCAAAACAATCGATCAACGTGCTTGTGGGAGTTGAGGAAGTTTTGAGTATGGGATGTGATTAAAAAAAAAGTCGCTACCTCTCTATGCTGAAACATGCAAAATCATTTCTCTAGCAGTTTGTGTAATCAATTTTTCAAAATGACCATAAACTGTGCTAATCTAAATAAAAGACCGTTTAGCATTGCGGGAGTTGAGCGCAACAAAAGAGTCACAAGAGTGAAATAGTCTAACTCACATCGAGACTCACACAGCGATTTAAAAAAAAGCCATTAAGCTTTCCAAAAACCGAAATACCTCTAATTAAGGTGTTTACTCATAGAGTGCTTTTGCTTACCAAATACTTTTCAATTTCAAGATTTACGAGGTTTATAACTCAAACCGTATAATGGATTAGGTCCTACAATTCTCTTCGCCGACTTTCTCTTTCGTTAATAACTTGGCTACAAAACCGTTTTTTGCCGTGTTTGACGTATTAGATTCTATATTCAATTAGCTTCTTTTATCGAACTATTTGTTGTGAACTGTATAGTTGGGAATATCTATACATGGCCGTGGCAAAGAGAAATCCGACGATAGGAATCTGTCAATGTTACTTAGAGCAACCGTACGTTGTTAAAACTATTTTAGCAGACTTAATCATAGTGTAGCTACCAAACCGGCGGATGCTATACCGCCTATAATCGCATATCAGGGATCGTTCATTAATTATGTCACAGTTTTAGGGGGAGGGGATTTTTGGAAACTGTGACAAGCCTTACAAAAAAAATTAAGGTCCATAAAAAAATGTGAAAAGGGGGGGCCAAATTTGCGTGACATAATTAATGGACCTTCCCTCAGTCCCATATGGATGTTCGTCAATTTTGAGATAACAACGCTATCCACTATCAATTGGCATTTACTTTCATATTATGTGATAAAATTATGGACTTTGATCATGAAAAAATGTTAAAACAACATCAGGTCAGTTTGTTCCATCAAGCAAAATAATCGCTTATCAGTCCCATCCTGAAATTCAATCGCCCATAGTTCAAGTTAAAGGTCTGCGTTTTGAATTGCCATATTTTTCGCTGATATAACAAAACATGCAAGCTTCATTGCAACAGATTTTAACATGAAAAAATATCAATTAATTTACTATTATTTATCAAATATTTACATGGGAATTGCACTTCGTAACTTCGACTGCCATTTTCTCAATGCCTACTTTTTTTCCATATAGGACTGATATGGGATTATAGCCAGTATAGGGGTGAGTGAAATATTTAACAATCAGTGTCTCGGTAAGCAGCGGGTCACAACATTAGCAGCGCGGTAACCCCAACAGCTGCTCTTTGTGAAACGTCATTTTAGTGTTTGATGTGAAATTTGTTATGGAATAACTTGTAGTGATAAATGAAATAATGTGGACATGGGGTTGAAATGTGGACTCTGGTGGCCACATAACGGTCTTGCGGATGATCCGGAACATCCGTAAAAAGGAATTCCGCAATTTCATGTGAAATCACATATAGTGATGAAACGCGAAAAAATGTATATCTGGAATCAAAATGTGGGCTCTGGGGACTCTGATGCAAGAGTTCCTCGACTTCATTAGACATCAGTTAAAATGGTGACGTTTGAATGAAACTGATTCTAGAGCCACGTGATTTTTTTAAATCACTTGTACTTACGCTACATGCATGAATATTAATCTGCGGTCAGAGTGTGGACATTGGGGGCCATGGAATGTCTTCCGGAAGATTCGGAAAATCCATTAAAATGTCCATTTCATTTCAACTGATTGAAGAGCTCCTTGTTTATTGAACCCCCTTATTATGCTAGTCACGTAACTCGCATAATAGAGGGCACTGATAATTGAGACATGGAATCGTAATGTGGACTCTCGGAGGATTATATAGTAGGTCTCGGGAAGATCCGGAACTTCGGTGAAATTCGTCAATTTAAGAAACTGTTCCAGTGCTCTGTGATTTTTTAAAATCTTTTGTAGTGAAGTGATTACCTTTTTCTTTTTATTCTTCTTATTCTTCTTCATTTCAAGCTTATTGCTTATCGTATAGTAGCTTATTGCGTGCTCTAAACTTAGTGTTATAGATGCATTTCCAAACTATTAATTGAGAGCTTTCGATGCCCGTACCATTTTTGCATCAGTACAATAGACCTTTTTAATGCACCACCAACGTAGAGTGCGCCAGGCGAGTTCGAGAGGAAACGTCAATCAAACCGTTTGTTTACATCATAAAGTCTGAAACGCGCAAAAATTGGACAACTTCAAATTGGTGTATTTCTGTTAAAAATGCATTAAAAAAAAACCTGAAATGCTGCATTTGGAAGTTGAGTGTAAATACAATGGTTGCTAGGATGAGTTTTCACCGTATGACTCCAGTTTTCAAAATGACGTCCAAGCAAGAGGAGCGGCGTGTCAAAATTTTGCTCGCGCACCAAGTGAATCCGACGTTCTCACACGCCAAGTTGGCAAAATTGCTGGATGTGGCCAAATCGACCGTGACAAACGTTTTAAAAGTGTTCGTGGAGCGTCTGTCGACCGCCAGGAAGCCTGGAAGCGGCGGCAATCGTAATCCGGACGTGGCGGTGAAATATAAGCGGAATCCTAACCTCTCCATCCGGGACGTCGCTGACAAGCTCAATGTCTCCCATACAACTGTGCAGCGGGCCAAGAAACGAGCCGGGTTGCCGACGTTTAAGAAACTGAAGGAGCCGAACCGAGATTACAAGCAAAACACGTCGGCAAAGCAACGGTTCCGAAAGCTGTATACGAATCTGCTCTCACAAAGTTCGACTGTGTCGTCATGGACGACGAAACTTATGTGAATGCGGATTTCAAGCAGCTTCCGGGACAGCTATACCATAGAGGTAATTCTAAGACTAGAAGGTCCCGAAATAACGTGCTCAACTTTTTGGCTCAGCTCTGGTACTATCTTCGGTCCCAAGCTAATCGATTCACCCCTCGAAACATAGGAAAAACGAATAACCCCTCATTTTATCTGTCAAACTTTCATAGCGAATCAAAACAAACATTGCGTAGTACTAGAATTTCGACTAGAATGGAGTTCGTTAATCGTTTGCTTGGGGCCAATAGGCTAGTCAAGTAGTGAGCCAATTTAAAATCGTTACTTTCGTATTGATTGTTGGCTATACCGCATCAGGAAAAGGGAAGGTGGCTGAAATTTTCAAAACCATCAAACTATCGAAGTTTCTGAAAAATATTCTTGTATGCACGTTTGGTCTAAAAAGCGGAATTTTCATTACTACGGGAACAATCAATCAAGAGATCTACGTCCAGGAGTGCCTGGAAAAGCGGCTGATACCATTCCTAAAGCAACATATTAGACCTGTGCTGGTCTGGCCGGACTTGGCGAGCTGAAACTATGGGTAAAAGGCAATCGAGTGGTATGATGCGAAAAACGTGGTTGTGGTACCCAAAGACCACAACCCTCCCAACAGCCCAGAACTCCACCCTATCGAACAGTATTAAGGGGAAGCAGACCGCTCCGAAAAAAAAATTACGTTTTGATTTTTCTAACAATATTGAAAAAAAGTATCAAAAATCTAAAAAACTCACATTTTTTCTAATTTTTTAAAGAAAATTCACGTGCAAAAACATGTTTTATAAGTCATTATGGCATAAAGTTGGACTCAAAAAACCACAAAACATCAACTTTTCGGTTTTTCTGAGTCCAATTTTTTTTCATGATGGGATAGAAATTTTTTTTTTTGCATGTAATTTTTGACAAAAATCTAAGGAAGAAACTGATTTTCTTGGATTTTTGATAATTTTTTCCAATATTTTTAGAAAAATAAAAACGTACCGAAAATATTTTTTTTTTATTTTTGGGCCGGTGAGCTTCCCCTTAAAACCACAAATTAGAAATCCAGAAGATCATAACCGCTGCGACAATTTTATAAATCTTAATTTTTCGCTTCCAAGATATATAGAAGCACCAGCCAGTTAACTGCAAACCCGATACAGAAGACAATATTTTCCGCGTGGATGATGATTTCAAGCACCTGCGGGGGATAAATTAATCAGCGGAATTTTCATTACTACGGGAACAATCAATCAAGAGATCTACGTCCAGGAGTGCCTGGAAAAGCGGCTGATACCATTCCTAAAGCAACATATTAGACCTGTGCTGGTCTGGCCGGACTTGGCGAGCTGAAACTATGGGTAAAAGGCAATCGAGTGGTATGATGCGAAAAACGTGGTTGTGGTACCCAAAGACCACAACCCTCCCAACAGCCCAGAACTCCACCCTATCGAACAGTATTAAGGGGAAGCAGACCGCTCCGAAAAAAAAAATTACGTTTTGATTTTTCTAACAATATTGAAAAAAAGTATCAAAAATCTAAAAAACTCACATTTTTTCTAATTTTTTAAAGAAAATTCACGTGCAAAAACATGTTTTATAAGTCATTATGGCATAAAGTTGGACTCAAAAAACCACAAAACATCAACTTTTCGGTTTTTCTGAGTCCAATTTTTTTTCATGATGGGATAGAAATTTTTTTTTTTTTTGCATGTAATTTTTGACAAAAATCTAAGGAAGAAACTGATTTTCTTGGATTTTTGATAATTTTTTCCAATATTTTTAGAAAAATAAAAACGTACCGAAAATATTTTTTTTTTATTTTTGGGCCGGTGAGCTTCCCCTTAAAACCACAAATTAGAAATCCAGAAGATCATAACCGCTGCGACAATTTTATAAATCTTAAT